GCCATCTTGGTACATCAACTCCATTACAATACATACAACCATTTCCCTCATCCCTTGGGCTTCACCTCCGCGACAATTCACTTCGTCCATGTATTCTTACGTATATGGTTTACTTTATGGTACATAATGGTTAATTCACTGTATTATGTAGAATGTTTTTAAAATCATGAAATAACTACAGAAAAGTTTCTCATCTTCTTTCTCATGATCCGCTGCATTATTACCTCGTTCGCACGTAGGAAACATCAAACGAGCAAATAAATGCACATTTTCAAACAGCATCGTATCTTCTTTTAATAAATGCGTGCCGCTAATGGGTGTTTACGATAGTGAGTTCGGAGTAAGTTCTCGATCGGACAGAGCAGTATATGCTCCCATCTACAACTAATATATTCAATGGCTGTTCCTGCTCTACTCCCGCCCGTATCATACCGCAATTCGGAGCAAGGAGTGGCGTATGAAGTAAATCGTACAAATGTCAAGTAGCCAGATATAATAAAATATAATTTGAAATAATTCAATTGTGGTACGTATTAACAATAGAAGACAATTTACTTAAAGTTTATCTTATATAATTTGTAATTTAATTCAATTTTTTATATTAAAGATCGTTATTATTAAGTTAAGTATATAAAAATGGGCCTGCTCTTATTCCTATAGAATTAAAAGTTAAATAATGAATCAAATTGAAACTCTATTATAAAAAAAAATAAATGTGATCACAGATAATATACCCAGACAGCACACGACGTCCAATGGACGTCCAATTTTGGTTTTTGTTTAGTCCCAACGTCCATGGACCTAATATGGACGTTTTAATTACGTGCATTAGTGGATGTATAAAATACGTTGACTTTTGTACGTTTTAAAGACGTCCATTTTATATATTTCTATGGAACATATGTTGAGTTCGCATATGTCTTCATTTATTAATAGTATAAGCCGGTTTCACCAATACGAATGAATTTAAACAATCGATTAAATTTACCTTTTCTGTTGGAACAATTGTATCTGTCAAACGATGATGTGGTTGGTTACTTTCATCGAAAAAGTTATCATTACGAGTTTTTGAAAATTGCGAACAAATTAACCTCTCAATTTGTATTATTAATAAAAAAACCAACTAGCAAAACAATAAAAACATTTAAACATTTAAAAACATTTTAAAAGCATTTAAAAAACATTTTTTAAAACGTTAAAAATAATAAGTTCCCATTTTTCATTAAAAAAACATTTTTAACATTTAAAAAAATGTTTTGTTTTTAATATTTAATAGAAGTTTAACATTCATTAAATATTAAAAAAAACATAACATTTTTCCAAGCCATTAAAGAAAACATTTCTTAATGAAAAAAAGGAATTTACCCAGACAGCACATAATATTTATGATAAAAATTCATAAATATTTAGGTCGAATTATTTTTTAGAAATATTATATAAATATTTTATAAATACAAAGAAAAAAGTATCAAAATCTTTATTCAAAATATTATTAAAATATAGGCTAAATATTTTATAAGATGTTTACAATAAATAAAAAATAAACAAATAAGTAAATAAATAAATAAATAAAAAATAAATATTTGTAGTAATATTTTGTAAATATTTCTATAAATAGTATACATAAAAAAATAAATGTAATTATTTATAATTATTAAATTATTAAAAAAATAATAAAATCGAAATTTAAATTGGTAATGTGTACTGAAAAAATTTTTTAAATTTAAGAAATATATTTTGTTAAATAAATATAATTTTTTAACTTAAAAAAGTATTTGTTAGATTTTAGAAAATATATAATAAGTATAAAGTAATATTTTTTTAAATTTGTAAAATGAGCTATAAAATTATAAATTTCTAAAAAAAATGAATTCCTTACAAGAAGAAAATTAGTCTTTTTTTTATGTAAGAGCTATGTTAAAATAAATATTTGCTTGTTTTAAAAGTAAATAAAGTACGAGTAAATTATTTTATA